ATTTGGTCTCATGTGTTGTTGTTTCGTATCAGATCCGCTCCTCTTTGATCATTTCAATATCCTGATAGTTTATGTAAGTCTTAATTTATACCCTAGTAAAATGGAGTACATTTATCATTTTGCAACACACATTAAATAAAAAGGTATTAGAGAATCGCCCAAACTAAAATATAATGCAAAAGTTAGATAACTTAGTTTGTCTTTAAACTATACAATAATCTGTGAGATGTGTAGAGGGAAAATGGAGATGTTAAAAATACTGAGAAAATTTATAATTAAAGAGACACCATGGAGGAAAGATAACGGGATGGGAATGATCATGAACCTGACAGACTTGTTACTAAAAGACACAAAAACATATCTGTCTGCACAGCTTATCAGGCACCAAAATGGAACAGCTGCTCATTCAGTCATTGAATTAGACAGAGTATATCTACCATCCTATTCCTCTTCTTATCACTCATAACTCGTGGGATAAAATTGTTTGTTAGTTCAAGCTATAAGACATTAGAGCTTCTAGTGAAAACAACGTATATATTGTGTTTGGCTATTAAGTCAAACCCTAAGTGCAGACTCGAAACTCTGACAATTAAACAAAAACTTTACTAAACAAAAAAAATGAATGGCATGGCAGCAAAAAGTACGGCAGATTTAGGCAGGAACAAACAGGATGGGCACAGGGATTACAACACAATGAACTGACAAGGGWCTGAAGACAGGAGACAAAGCAAAGAGAGACACCAGAAACAGGTGAGTGTGGGAGGGGCCGGAGTCGAGACATGTCTGAAGAGAAAAATACAGGGAACGACAGAAATCAGAAAACCAGAAGACAGGAACTGAGTAATGAAGACAACACATAACAAAGARACAAAAATTGTAACATTATACAAACTTTAAAAAGAAAATGAAGTTTAGAGTTCTCAGTGGTCCCAACTGGACCATACAGAGCATGGTTTCCAGATGGATCCCAGCACTGACCATTATCAAAACAGAGGCACCTTTTGAACAACMTATTTAATTACATGATGAAACAAGGTGCATTGTCTGAAGGATACAGAGCCCAGGAGTCATGGAAGAAATAAAATTTGAGGTTGCAATGTGTTCCCTCAGTTTGTGTGCACACAGATACATATAATAATCCATCGTGTGGGTTCAGTAGAAAAGGTGGAGAAATTCTTACAAGTCCATTAATTTCTGAATGAGCCATTAAATCTGTGAATCTACAAAGCAGATTTACACATTTAATTAAAACTCCAAACTGAGTTATAAAGACTCTCTCAACCTCAGATTTTATTTTTCCCCATTAACCCTGAAGTGCTCTGTAAAAACATTGTGTTCCTCGGGAATCTTTCAGGAAACGTTCCCGTCTTTCTCTTTGACGTCAGAGAAAATGGCAGTGAACCCAAASTGCTGAAATGCAACAGGAGAGTAAGCTTGTTAAATTAAAGGCTGTTTAAATGACAAGCTGAGCGTTCAGCAAATTTAATGCACAAAAAAAAAAACGTATGTAAAGTCAAAATAACTGTCATGTTAACACAAACTCATAGGAGGAAGCAAAGTAAAATGAACATGCAGCGATGCACACGTCTTGTCTCTGTTTAGCACAAGTGTTTCTGTCCACTCTGGTCAGCTGGCACGAGAATTACAAACACATTCTTCCACGGCTCCGTCAGCAGGAGAACTTATTATTGCCCCACACTGACAGCTCTGACTGGAGACACGGCCCTGGAAGTCATGAATCCCTGAAAGGAAACACGGACACTCACCATGTGCACAATGCAAACTGACTGAAAAATATAGAGGGAAAAAAGGTTAAATTCATAAAATAAGCTTAATTTTCGTTCAATACCAGATGAAATTATTTGTATTTAATTACATATTGAATTTATGTTGTTTTTTTAAGAAATTAATAAAGTTTGATTTATAAATTAGACAACAATCTATAAGACTTTCATTTAATACTTAAAAATGGTTTATTAATTATCAAACCTTTTATTATGGAGAGATTTTAATTGTACACTGAAAAAAATAAATTGTAAGATGTCCCTGAAAAAAATCCTCTAACAAATTTGCACTAATGTTTGTTAAGTAAAATTAAATGCTACAAATTCATGTAATATTTACTCATCATTATCTAGTAAAAGTTATTAAGAATATAGTTAAAGATTTGTGAATAAATC